CACCAGGCTCCTGACACTGTGTAATGTAACAAAATACCCTTCACTCTTGATCTGTGCGAGAAAACCAGTTGGTGATACTCCACCAGTGTTATGTAACCAGGGACAAGGTGTCTGCAGTTGTCCACCCTGTAAAATAACTTTGTTGATAAGATAGTCTGTTTCATGAAGTGACGTTGTGAGCAAAATTAGAACAAGTGGTACAAATATGGCAAAATAATGGTCTTATTTTTTTGTTTTTAGCTTCAGCGAGAACCAAGACCTTTCCCGAAGCTCAAAATTCTTCGAAANAGGAGGAGGAAATGTGGCTGTCCTTGAGTTTGTGGTGCCCGGTGGCCACTTTTCTGATGACTAGAGTCTGGCTACTACTCACTACACTGCAAGCCGATCAAGATTTGCAGCAGAAAGCAGAGTTGGAAGCACGGATAATCATCCTGGAGGATGATGTGCAGCGACTGGCAATCCCTGCTTTTCACACCAGGGAGGATGACAAAAACAGTGGTGAGTTGGGGGAGACCATGCATGACCTGTTGTGCATCAGGAAATGAAGTACGAGCAGCCGATAGGACCAGGCAGACAACCGGTGGGCAATCCATTGGTGACCAAACTCACCACCTATGCCCCCTATACCCAGGTTGAATTAGTTGACTTGCGGAGACAGTTCCAGCAGAAACGGGGAGCCCCTGGCTGCTGCGGTTATGGGACTTAGGGGTGGATAGTGCGATATGCTCTGGTGAGGAGATGGAAAGATTGGCCTCTATTACCATGCACCCGTCCCTGCGGCAGCAGCTACAGAATAGCCACAGGTATGCACAAGGGCCAGGTAATCACTCCTTAACTGATTGGGTGAATGCAGCTGCCCGAACCATGTGGGCAAATGCTAGAGAGCTGCCCCAAATTGTGAGTAAATGGCAAACACATGCCGAGTTGGTTCAAATAATTCAGGAGCTGAGGAGGCAGCAGTCCATGTTTAATGTGAACACCGTGGCCCAGACGATGAATGTTTTACAGGCAGCATGAGAGACAGTGCTGCAAAATGTCCTGTCAACATCCTTTGGG